TAAGAGTTTAACGTAGAAACTTACATATACCTTGTTGTGCTAGTCTTCCAGCATAAGCAGGACCAATGCCTGGTACATTAGTGACTCTCTGCATATCCATGGGAGATGACACAAAATGTTGAAGCTTGTGTGTATTGCTTCTCTGTAAATATAATAACAGCGTGTAAGTGAAACGTAACAAAACAGAAAAGAAGATGTGGTGTTATAATTTCACAATGAGACAACTATCCAATAGAGTTCAAATAAAATAGATTTAAGCAATTATTTATCACTGTAACAGCCTTGAACAATGAGCACAATGCATACTGTACATAAATTATAAACGGTTCTATAATGACGAAATGACCAACAGACTGATTTATGACCAAACATAACACGTGTCTGGTGTACAAAATTTGATTCCTTGTATAAGTTATGTTGAGTTTATTTATAACAGGTAGCAAGTTTATATGACTATAGCAGAGTTCCTCGAAAAGTTGTTGTTCTAAGGGTTGACCACTAAAATTTTGCAAAGGACAGACACAATAATGGTATTTTGCATAAAAAATAAATTGAAAATGTGTCTATGGGACACAGATGACGGACGCCCTATTTGCATATAGATTAGTTATAAAGATGCATAACTTGGGGGTAAAAGTGACGCCACCCAAATTGAAATATGATCTGTGTTTGGTGGTAATGTGCGAACTTTAATAAAAAATGTTAGATAACCAACTTCAGGTATAATCTCTGGAAACATGATTAAACTTACTTTTAAATCGGCTATCCTTCTTTTTTAGTATTCAAAAAGAACCCATGGAAACCTGTGATTACCTCTTGCCAGACTTGAAAGAGTTTTTCTTGTTTGCATCTTGTAGAGAGATGGACAAAATCTTGTTATCTTTCAAAAACTGTGTATGTTGTGCAGGTTTCCTATGATTGAAATGTACTTATTAGTGTTTAAATATTAGTTTTTAAATATCTGGGAACCAATAAGTGCAACAATCTTCCTTTTTTAGCTCACTTGGCCCATTGGGCCAAGTGAGCTTTTCTCATCACTTGGCGGCCATCATCTGTCGTCATCTGTTGTCGTCGTCATCCATTAAATTTTACAAAAATCTTCTCCTCTGAAACTACTGGGGGATTAGTTTGAAAAATGTGTCCGATGACCCCGCCTGCCAACCAACATTGCCCAAATTGCTAAAAATAGAACATAAGGGTAAAATGAAAGTTTTGTCTACTATTTTGATAACCGTTATAAATAGGGAAAATCTGACAAGGGCTGAAATGTTCAGAATGCAGTTGAGCTCTACCAACTGTCCTTATACTTCAAAACTGTCAAACGACCTCTTCTAGGAGTTATTGCCCTTAAATGACAAATTTTACCTTTTTTTTTTATTTTTGCCTATTATCTTGAAAGCTATAATAAATAAAAAGAAATTTTGAATTGCAAAAATGATCAGCAAGACAATTTCTTCAAATAAGTTGGCATTGTTGAAATCGTTAGTCAACGCCTTATTAAAGTTAATTGCCCTTTAATGACGTTCAATTTTTACCATTTTTTTGGCATTTTTGCCTTTTTCTTAAAAATATAATAGTCACATGTAGATAGAAACTTAAATTAGCAAACATGATCAGCATGTTTTACAAATTAATATAATATAAATCATGGTATTCAATGAACAATTATGTTAAAGAAAAAATCTTCTTAATGTAAGCTTGTGTTATTCTGTATTTTTTATTTAAAACATAAATATTATCTATACCTTTAATTTTGTATTTAAGTCAACTGAATCTATTTGTTCAAAGTATATTTCCTAAAAGTGTTACATACTGATGTACTTTGTCTTAAAAATGTTATAACAATTTACCAGATGACATGGATAATACAGCATATATATTTAAGAAACTCATTATGTTAATCTTTTAGAAAATTCTCATTTAAGTGGAATCCGATACAAATATAAACAATGGCAACAGTAATCGATATATTTCATGTAACCAATGTGCATTTTCAAAAAATATATAGTATTATCTATTTATAATTAATATGCAATATTCTAAGAAAAACATTCACAATTGAAATTAACCTTTCAGATAATAAACAACAAAAAATATCCTTAAAAATTGGTTGGTGATAATTTAACGAATTTTTCCATCATTAAAATTATGTATATCAAGTATTGAATTACATTGGTTAAGATAATTAATGTAATTGTCGACGACGTTGGTACACATTAAATAAAGATTATAAAAATTTTTGTTGAAAGTGCCTTATCATTTATGAAAGCCATGTTGATTATTTAAAATTTTTAAAAACTCAATAGCTTATTTAATGATTGCTAGTTTTACAGTTTTCTACTTTGTTCATTTTTATAAAAAATTATAACAACACGTTATGAATTTATTGCATCCAAAGTGCTTTTATTGATTTACCTTCATCAGGAACGTTCAAAGCCTAATTTTGAAAGCCAAGGATGTATAAAACCGAAACAGTTGAAGAGCTAATTATAAACAAAAATGACCTAGAATAATAGCCAAATCCATCTAAGGCCAACTTTGCCTGAGGAAGTTGAAACCTAAGTTTCTTTATAATATCAAAATTTATAAATTTCACATCTTGAAAGACAATAAATTATAAAAGACCAGCTGGGGCAGTACATATAAGAAAAGAATGAAGGACTGTATGGCCTATAAAATATTTTTTTTCTATCATAAATGGATGTCCTGTTGTAACAACGATTACTGTGGATTCATTATTATTCGTTGGATACCAATTTAATTTCGTGGGTTTCATGGTTACCCGGGAACCACGAATTCCAATGTACAACAAGTAACAAATTTTCTACACGAATGTATGTAGACTTTGGTAAAACCACAAAATCAAATATCAAAGAAAATGCAAGTTTTCCTCACTCCCCGAAATTTTATTCCCAGGAAAATAAATGAATCTACAGTATTTGGGCCCTATATATGGAATAGATACCAGTCAAAAGTTCTTTAAATTAGTTTGTATTTCATTATGTTGCGCAATTTTAAAGAATGACGTATTAATTATATAAAAAGAAAATCCCATTTTCTGAATCCCATTTTTTTTTTTTAAAAGTATTTATAATCAAAGCAATACATGAACTTCCAATCTGTAGAAATTTCTTGGAAAAAATAAACAAAGTAGTGGTCTCAAAGCAAATATTTTCATATCACTGCATTGTCCTTTGACACATTTTCCAAATGAATGAACCATTAAACAAGTTAACTGCGTCAATTCATTTATAAAAAGAAAATTAGAAACTTGTCTCTTAAAACAATGAAAGTTTAATATAATAAAAAGAAAAAATACAGAAGACCCTTTTTGCAATATCTATTTTAAACACATACAAATATAACCTTTTGAGGGGAGTTGGCATTTTAAAGCACACTTTAGCTCAATTCTTCTAACCTCTTAGTGAATTAATAACATTAAAAAATATACTTAAAAGTATGTTGAAGATAATTTTACACTTTTATTTATTACTGAAAATATATATCAATTATTGAAAAAAAATTGATTCAGATAATAAAGTTAGGTTAATGAATATTAATATATATATACTATACAGATGTTGGTATGAAGAGATTTCAATTGAAACTGTCTGGCTCAGTGTTACACCTCTACTGGACAATAGTTAGGATCCAGCCCAGAAATTCCTGTTATTATAATCAAAAGTCCTAAGGGTTCTTGAAAAATCAGGATTGATCAAATATTGTTATTAAGTCCTGAAATATCCCAGAAATTCCTGAAACAAATTTAAAGTCCTGGGAATTCCTGAAATATCAGGAAAACAGATTTCAGTACTTCATGGGACTTCTTGTGACACTTAAACAGTAATTGCAAAATGACCAGTGCTGGGATTTTTCAGGATATCCCAGGACTTCCTGGACTTCCTGGGATATCCTGATAGAGTGTTTTTTTTTCAGGACAGCATTTTGCAGGGGCACCTCCTCTTAAGTGAAGACAGCTCTTGTAATGCAGCTAATTTTCTGTCTCTTGCATCTTTAATTAATATAGAAAAATCTAAATTTTCTGGATTAATTTGCATGGAATACTTGTCACTTAGCATACATCCTTTCATATTTTTTTCTCTCAGTTAGTTAGACTGCAAATGTTGCCTTTTAAAGGTGTTTGGTATATATAAAAATAAGCAGATATGGTATGATTGACAATGAGACATCTCTCCACCATAGACCAAATGACAGAAGTTTACAATTATAGGTCACAGTACGGCCTTCAACAATGAACAAAACCCATACTGCATAGTCAGCTGTGTTACAGTATAATTAGGGCATACAGAAATGATGTTATTGTAGGATACATTACAGCAATTCATTTATGTTTTTGGAAATTTAGTTTTCATGCAAAGAGGTCACGCCACTTCTTTTAAGACAATCCCCAAATGTCTATGTAGTGCTTTACAGAGTCGGTATCAATAGGTTAAATTCGTAACCTCAAGTTGGATTTGAATAGAAATAAAAAATAAAAGGTATATTTTAAATGTATTTTTCATCAATTCCGTAATTTAATCCATGTTATCAAAAATCTTATTAAGGCATTTATTACACTGGTTGCAATGAATGACTGTGATTTCCCAGCAGTGAAATAAAAACCGATGATTTCACATGTTAAATAAACTCGATAATTTCACTCCTCTGACATCATACAACAATAGGTGTTGTCAAGAGGTCAATGGGGTTGCTTCAAAGCAAATTTTGAATGCGTAGAAAAAGGTAAAGTTCCTTGCATTTCCTATTTTATTTCCATTAAAAAGCCCATTGCCAATGTAATAAAAAAAATAACTAATCAAAGAATTCAAATATCGAAAAAATATTCAACTCGTGACTGAACAACACCGATAATTAACTTGTGTGCTACCTGCGCGAGCATTTGTGATTTAATGTGTTGTTCGGTCACACGTTGAATATTTTTCTATATTTAAATTCTTGAATTAGTTATTCTATAATTATAATAGGCGTATAATACGTACATGGCCCGATAAAATTGCAAAATTTCCTAGGGACAATTCTGTTCTCATCTTTAAGTTGTTCATGCTTTCTGTCCATTAAGTTCTTGATCTTTTTTCTGTAATACTTCAATCTGTTGATTAGATAATTTTTTTGATATTGAAATTTTTAAATTAAATGTTTACTAAACTTTGAATATGACAGTTGTTATCCATTCGTTTGATGTGTTTGAGCTTTTGATTTTGCCATTTGATTAGGGTCTTTCTGTTTTGAATTTTCCTCGGAGTTCAGTATTTTTGTGATTTTACTTTTTACTAAACTTTGAATTGTTTGTAATACTAAGGTTTTTTACCCCAGGTATAGATTATCCTAGCTGTATTTGGTAAAACCTTTCGTATTTTTAATCCCTCATTGCTCTTCAACTTCATACTTTATTTGGCATTTTCACTTTTTTTTGGGGGTCACTCAGATGAGTCTTTTGTAGTCGAAACACGTGTTAGGCATACAAAACTATAAGCCTGTGTCTCTTTTCACAGAAAATCTTAAGAGTAAAAATAATCGTAAGTCATACACATTTCAGTATAACTTACGATAATTTAAATCGTAAGATTTTTTGTGAAAAGAGTCGCAGGTACTCTTTGATGAGTTTTTGGTGTATATTATTTGAATCAGAAGATTTGGCTATCTATTATGGTTTCATTCTGGATGAGCAAATTTTGCAGATTTAGTTTTGACACTTTTTGGACATTAAAGATATCAGTTTTCTGCACTTTTTTCTGAAATACCTAACTCAATTAGCAAGTTGAGTTTTATTCCAGTTAAGAGATATAAATGAAGTTGTGGCCCTTGGAAATAGAAATTTGCATGAAAATATTAGTTTTCTGAGGAAAAAAACTTGATTTTTGAAGGGAAGGATTATGGACTAGCAGTTGTAGAAAATAATTAAATTTTTGATCTGATTAATGTTGTAACATGGACATTTTTTGGGATCATTTAGCAATTTTCTAATATGTCTGTCCTTCAGTCAGTGTATTTGAAAACAAATGGTTTCTAGATCCATAGCTTAATTGTAAGGCCATTGGAACATATAAGGAAGGGAAAGCACCTTTTGATTTACGGGGTTCAATAGGTCAATATGTCAAAGATCAGATCACTTGTAAAAATAATTGAAATTTGGTTTCCGGATGTAACTTGAGTTTCCCTTGCTTGATTAAAATGAAACTTATACAGATGGAAGATATAGGGAAGAGGAATGCCCTTTAATCAGAGGTCAAAGGTCAAGGTCATTGTTACCTAAAAAATAATCTTTTGATGAGAATATTCAATAAATGAGTAAATTTCCAATATACACAATTTTTAAATTGATGGTTACAAATTTAGGCAGAAGAAATAAGTTTCAAAATTCAGACAATGGAAATACTATTGACATAACCTCCATGACCTGCAGCTCAGACATTATGTGTCCATATTATGTTGACCATGATCTTCCCTAAATGTGAACTTGATTAGTGATTACAGATATACCAGATACCTAAGTTATTAATTAAGCTGATGCTTAATTGATTCTTGATTACACTTATTTCTATAACACAGTCTAGTAGGATATTGTTAAGAGTCTGAAGGAATTAATTCATAAAAAGTGTCATGGAAAAAAATTAATTCATAGAAAGTTATGGAGAAAAATTAATTCATAGCAAAATGGAAAAAAAATACTTATTAGATGAATAGAAAAATATATCATAGAAGATAAGGAATATTAATTTACAAGTGAACAACATGTAAATTTGAGTCTGATTCATTTGATGATTAAATACCTGTAGATTGACTTTATATGTAAATTACTTTGTAAGTTGGAAACATACATTGAAGTAAACATTTTTTATTGGAGTATACAAAGCTGATTAGAATTTTGATGACATTACATTTTTTTTTAAGAGATGGAAAGTTAATAAAATATGTAAACTCACTCAAATGTAATGAATGATAGTATTGACATGCTTTGAGGTTTTAGTGTGCAAATTTTTTCTGAAAGTTAAAATCAACATTGAAACATACATCCTAGAGGAATACAAAAAGTTGAAAAGTATTTTGACAACGGTTTCTGCTTGATGATCTTTTAAAATAAATTTGTACATGCATGTAAAATTCAACCTGGATCAGATCATCTATGCACTAAATTTGACTGCATCGGATGGGGCCCTGCAGTTTTATGTACTTTTCATTAAGTTTTTAACGTCAATTTTATAACAGTACTCCATAAAATGTAAACATCTTTTGGCTAAAACTGTTACTCAGATCGGGACATTGTAAGTAAAGTTCACATTTTACCTGTGATCTACAAAGTTGTACATTACATATTTGAAACATTGATGTTGAAATATATATTTGGATTATAAAAGTTCAATGGAGTATTAAAAGAAAGTGATAATTGTGAACTGTATGTGACGTAACAGTTTTTATTTTTTAAACGGATATTCTGTGGAAGCAATGGAGCAAGATGATAACTGGGAGAATATAAACTGGGATGATCAAAGCAGTAAGCAGAAATTTGAAATTCAATTTGTTTTAATTTTATTTTTTTAAAAGTTAAACATTTCAATTAATTACTTTTTTTCAAGGTTAAACTGATGCACATAATATTATATGAAATTAATTTTGTTTGCTGGTATTTCAACTTGACAATTTTCTATGAATATATTTAAAAGAGAATATTCACTACAGCCCTGCTCAGGATTAATTTGTCATTCAATTAGCTATAGTCCATTGTGGAAGGGCACACAGACTTATTTATTTGACAAAGATTCTAGACGGTTCTATGACATAGAATCTATATATATGTCCCCCTTTGGATTGGACCTACTAATTCTTTTCTATCACCCGTCTGGAATATGCATGAAACTGGATGTTTCACTAACAGCAATCAATCAATCAAATCTTTGTTTTCACCATAAGAGTTATAATGCAATAACTTATACTGCAAAAACAAATTAAACTTTAGTTTTCAATAATTTCATGCAAGTTCAGAGGGCAGCGCCCATGATGGTGGGAATTAGACGAGTATCTGCTTGAGCTAGAGTGTATACTTTTACTTCAGGGGTTGTATCTGAGACTAAGTCTGTATAATGTCAAATTTGATGTGTATCTTATTTATTATACTTAATTTTGTTGAAAAAGTTTGGGAACGAAAGTTGTCTCAGGGATTACAGAATTTCACCCAAGTTGACTTATTTTTTCATGGATGTACATGTAGCCCCATAGTTCTGGGGTCCTGGAGGCGGTTTCACAAAAATACTTACGACTAAGATTGGTCGTAAGTCATGAACAATTCAGTATACTTACGATCAATCTTAGGCGTAAGTTTTTTTGTGAAACCGACTCCTGAAATTTTGTTTTTCATGTAAAGATCAATGCATAGTCACTCCAATTAACAGGTTTATCTAAATCATCTCAATGATGTGGTACATGTATATTAATACAAGTCTATGGGAAACATTAATAGACAGATCTGTTGACAGAAATGTTAAGCAAATTTGAACAGAAATAATATTTTTAACAGGGTTAACTTGCCTTCATTTCATGTACTTTTAGATGAAGACTGCTACACCCTTCTTTTTAAAAAAGAAAAACAAATCAAACTGATCCAAAATCTGCTACATTCCATTTTCATGTACTTTTAGAACTCAATAAAAAAACAAGAATGTGTCCATAGTACACGGATGCCCCACTCACACTATCATTTTCTATGGATCGTGAAATTGGAGTCAAAACTCTAATTTGGCATTACAATTAGAAAGATCATATCATAGGGAACATGTGTACTAAGTTTCAAGTTGATTGGACTTAAGCTTCATCAAAAACTACCTTGACTAAAAACTTTAACCTGAAGCGGGACGGACCGGACGGACGAAAAACAGACTGAAAAACATAATGCCCCTAAGTGGGGCATAAAAATGTTTTTCTCTGACCATCAACTTGTATCCCAGCCTCATATTCCATGCAAGAAACTGTTAAAGGTAAAAAGGCAAGAAAATGCCACAAAGAAAACATATACATGTGTAGAAAACTACACATCTGTCACTGTGTCACAGAGTTTATTCTGATAGATAAAAATTTGCCACTGGACATTAAGCAACCAACAATCAATCAATATTTTGTATGTTGCTTCATGGAACAATAAATGATATTGACATTTTGTAAAAAAGGAAGTCATTAAAAACCCAAGAAAGAAGCTGTTTTACATTTGTCATTTCGTTATCTTTTATAGCTTACTATGCAGTATGGGCTTTGCTCATTGTTGAAGGCCATACAGTGACTTATAGTTATTTGGTCTCTGGTGGAGCCTCAGTTGTCTTATTGGCAATTCTTAACCACATCTTATTTTTATAGGCTATTCAATTATTATACATTTTAATTTAAGAACAAAGAAAATATGAAAAATGGTATTTCAGAATGCAATTACTGAATCATTTTCTATTTATAGAAAACTACAAATCTAAAATTAATTTTTTGGTCCCTTTGATCTGTAGCTAATAATGAATTTGCTATAAAATATTTATATTTTCAATGAAAAAAATTTCATCAAATAGGCGTTTTAGTTGTTAAACTTACCTGTAGTGGTCAATGAAGCCACTAACAAAATAATATCAAAAGACCATAGACTCAATAAACTCTTTGACAGATGTGTGGTTTTATATTACATGTACATGTAATTGTTTTTGTGGTGGCATTTTCTTGCTTTAACCTTTAGGTATGAATATTTGATCAGTTTTCATGCAAGGAATCTGAGGCTCTGGGATACAATATGAGATTAGCATAAGTGCCCCTTTGGACATTTTCATCTCAAATATGAGGCCTATAGTCCAAAATTTAGTAGTTTGGGCTTCTGGGTCTTTTTAAAAAACAAATTGTGATGCATTGTACCACAACTCCTGATTGGTACAAATGTACTATGTTCAATAATACAGATATTCCTGAGAATATAAGTGATTTTCAACAATTTGATAAAATTTTAAGCGTACTTTAAATATATAAAAGAAGGCTGGGTGTTGCAGTCTGCATGCTAAAAGTGCATGCATGGGATTGAGGACTTGAGTGGGTATTTAAATGTTTACTGCTTTACAGATGATAAGAATAGTCAAATAAAATATTAAAATTATACCTACTAAATGCATATGTGCAATGTGTTTTTGATCTTAAGAAAACAGTCCTAATAACATGTAATTACAAGCCTGATTGATGGGGTTCACTCAGTTTTTATTGCAATGACTTCGGTTCATTGAAAGTATTTCATTTTCGTGGTTTATACAGCCATGACATAAAAGAAAAAATAAAAACAAAGTGGTTAAAAATTGATGATCTCATAATCACAAAAAGTACTTTGGTCTAAAGGAGAAGGTACATTTTAGGATTTATTTGGCCCTGTAAATTCATCAAAATTAAAAAATAAAAATTTTTTGTTGTAACTATTAATATTTTTTTAAGAGTTAAAGCTTCAAAAGAAAGACCTTCAGAAAATGTGAGTAATTGTCTGTGACGTCATAAAAGTGACTTTTTCAAATTTTAAGCAAAAATAGGCTAATTTTATAGAGAGTTTGGATTAATTAACATCAGAGTGCAAGCATCACTCAAAATTTGTTTATGCCAGTGAACAGATTAACACAAAATAAACTTCCTTAATGTAAATATCTTTTTGGGTGACGGTTTTAGTCACAGTGCTCTATTGTAATTCTAAGCATGTGTTTGTCAAATAGTCATTATATTGCTTAATTTTGTCATTGTGCTGTATTTTCTGTCATTCTGTTACTGCATGATCCATTTAAATGGTGCATTTAAACCAAGTGCTTGATTTAGGTACAAAGATTTAGGATTTGATTCTGCAAAGTAGATGAAATACTTTTCATTTTTGTTTTGCCCTAAGTCGTCCTTTCTTTATAAATGTACATGAATATAATTGCGCCCGAACAACTAAGGGGATAGAAATTGATGATCTGGTATAGAAAAATATGCTCTTTTCATAAAATACTGTAGATTCATTTATTTTTGTTGATACCAATTTTCGTGGATTGGGGAAAACTGATATCTTCGTCAATACTCAATTTCGTGGTTTTGGCAAATTCTGCAAACAATGCATCATAGTGATTTTGCATTTCTTTGAACATTTAAATTTATAATTCACCTTCCTAAGGAAATACTTGAAAATTAGGACTCTATGAAAAATGATGAATCCGACATAATGCTGTCCGTCACATTTGTCAAATTGAATAATGTTATTTAAGGTCAAAAGTTACATTTTATATCTACATTTTTATGCTGTTAATCACCTAAAATACCTAGATTTTGGAGAATTTTAGTTTTCAAAAAGTAGAATTTGTTTGTTTTGCGTAAACATACTTAACAGCTTGTGGCTTATGGATATTTTAGTATCACCCATTTGATCAACATAAACAAATTGATGAGTACTTAAAAATGTCACCATAATATATATGTATTTTTATGTTCTTTAAATGAAGTCATGTCTGTTGAAGATCCATAATAGACAGAAAAGTACAATTATTTTATTGCTTAGTTTAGTAGACAAATTCAATGTTCAGATTTTAGCAGAATTAGTTTTTGCATGTTATTTAGTTTAGATAACTCCAATTTGGTGATTTAATTTAACAAATTGAATATTCATATATTAGCAAATAAAATAAAATAAATAAAATATGTGATGGGAACAGAATATATGACAGTTATATGAGATGTAAGGAGACCAATGAATCAAAAAATCCTACATACATCTAGAGAGGTCAACATACCAGGTGTGGATCCAGCCATTTGGAAAAGGGGGGGGGGGGCAAATCAAAACCCCCTGAACACCATGAAACATTCACATAATTAGAAAAAAAAGGGGAGGTTCTGCAACCCCCAGAACACCCCCTTGATCTGCCAATACATACAGTCTTTAACATAGGACAAGTGTCTGTAAAATTTGTCAAGCACTAAATGCCCTGAAGTCTAGAGAAATTGAATAGACTTTCAGACTATCTAATGCAGTCATCACTTAATTGCCTTTTGATAAAAAGATAAGATACTAATAAAGACAACCACTTACAAGGTTTCTTTCTTTGAATAAGAACATAAAAAATTCCTGAATGTGGAAGAATTTACTTATTTTTTCTAGCACTCAACATACCTCTTTAGCTTTATGTAGAAAAAAAACATAAGATAAAAATGTAGAAAAAGCATTTAATTTTTCAATTCTAAGCATTTTATTATAAACATCATTTCTATTTATGCATATAGATCTTACAATAGGAAGATTTTATTTTAAGGATCTATGGCACAGACCATTCAATAAATTGAAAAAAATGTATTTTGTTTTAGAAAAGAAGTGAAATGAATTGTTTGTTTCTATTGCAAATTAAGGAACCTCGTCGGCTTAATTAGTAGTCTAAGTAGTCTTAAGAAGTCGAAACTTACTGTATCACTATCCTGTCAACAATAAGGATGTTTAGCAGGTCACTACACTCTAATCTTAGCTTTGCTCATTGTTGA